CCATTATCATCACCATTACTATCATCACATCACCATCACCATCACTATTACCATCATCACCACCACCACCATCATCACTATCACCATCACCACCACCACCATCACCACCATCACTATCACCATCACCACCACCATCACCACCACCACCACCACCATCATTATCACCACCATCACCATCACCACCATCACCATCACCATTACTATCATCACATCACCATCACCAGCACCATCATAGTTCTCCCCTGTAGCTGGTCCAGCAATGAGATCCTCAGACTTTGGGCCATGGTCAGGGCTGGGCTGCAGCAGCAAACACGTGCCACATTCCTGTGCAGCACCCGCCCCACTGGTATTTCACTTGGGCCCGTGGAATTGCTCAAAGGCCCTGGCAGGTGGCTGGTGCCTCCTGGAAAGCTTCCCCACCCACCCCCTAACCGGTGCCTTTCTGAGTCCCGTGAGTGGGGCGGAGCTCTGCAGTGGCCCCGAGTCCCCCTCAGGCCCAGGTCCTGTGTTTGCAGGCATCTGAGCAAGAACGTTTCAGGGTGGGGCATCTCTTTCTCAAATAATTGCTTTAGTTTCAAAACAGTTGATCTGTGGTCCTTATCCTGAGCCAGCGGGCTGCTTCTCCCTTAAGTCTGTTCTCTGTGACGAGGAACCCAAGTGCAGAGCACCCCAAGCTGTGGGGGGCCATTGAGAAATCCTGGGGGCAGAGTATATTTGTGACGCTCCCCTCCCAAGGCTCCCAGGCCCCTGTCCAGGTCCTCATCTGACCTGGTTTGCAGTCAGCGTTGATGTCCTAGTGTGGGCGAGAGGAGAAATCTCCCCACGTCGATTGAAACTGCTTGGCCAGAAACTGAGCTCTCTCAGAGTCAAAGACAGAGAACCCACAGAGTCTGGGCATGTGGGCCAGGACGCCTGCCCCTGCCCTGCATGGCCTTGGCAGCAGCGGTGTGCCCCAGGCGCCACCTGCAGGGGAACGTGGGTCACAGCGCTGAGGCCGAGGGAATGGTGCTGCACTCCTTTACCGCCTAAGCCTGAGGAAGGCCTGGAAGCTTCCGTTCTGCACTTTCAGAGCCCGGAGCTCCCTGCAGAGGGACCACCTGGAGGGGCATGTGGTGGTGGGGGGGCCCCTCAGGCCCCCTAAGTGGCCTGTCACGTAGCATTGGATAACCGAGGGAGGTGGCGAGAACCCTGGAAGTCCTTGTCGGTGCACAGGACGGGAAAGGAGGGGTTGGGGAAGCTGGAGGAGTTGACATTTATACCTGTCTGATTAGGAGAGAAGGTAAAGGGACTGTCACTGCTAATAGAATGAAAAATACGCAGAACTTGAGGCCAACAAGGACAAAAATGGAAGCACTGCAACTTGAACCAACCAGCAAAATTAAACAAATTTGAAGCTGGAGTAAAATCAAGCATGTTTGCCACCACGGAATGCCACCACTGAATTTTTTTCCAGCTTTTCCTTTTTAATCATCTAACAGTGTTTGGCTTTTATCTGTACCCTGTTTCTAGGATTCTTGGAGCAAAGTGATTTTTAAAAAGGTGAGATGACTGGAGTTGGACTCCTGGGCGGGACAGGTGGGGAGCCCCAGAGGGCACGAGGCTGATGAAGGCCTTCCGCTGAGCTGGGGCCCAGGCCTCCTTCCCGAATGCAGTGAGCTCAGAACAAAACCCTGGGGCAGACAGAATCGATTAGCCTGCGGGAGAGAACGCTGTTAGTGGCTGATCGGCTGATTGGAGGGGAGGCCTGGGCAGCCTTCGGGGGCAGGGGTGTGCCCTGCTGGGTCCGCCACCGGGAAGGTTGAAGGTCAAAGGAGACCTCTGCTGGTGGGAGGAGGGCCTCACGGCAGTGGCTTCTACCTGGCAGGATGGGGTGAGCCAGCACCCCCGCCCCACCCCCCGCCCATGGAAATAACTACCTTTGTTGCTAGAAATGAAAGCGGTGTGGCTGGTTTACAGTATTCTCTTCCTTTTAATGCAGCTGAAACCTTTCACGGCCTCAGAAAAAGCAACGCAGATCAAAAACAATAGGCTGCTTGCACAGCGAGTCGAGGGAGATGCTGAACCTGAGACTCCAGCGTGCGAGGGCACGGAGGAAGACAGCCCCGCCGAGCCCACTCCGGCTGGAGGCGTTCCCGTCGTCGCACATAAGACGCTGTCATTAGTATTTGTAGTCACTTTCAGATGCTTAGTGTTTCGTGTTGGAAAACGTATTCTGAGGCTGTAATGCCGGCAGGCACAGCGGATGGCTCCCAGGGAGGGCTGGGCCCCCGTGGCTCTTGCTCAGTTTCATGACTCCGTCCAGCAGCTTTCTGGCCTTTAGGGGAGGGCGGGGGGACAAAGTTAGCCAGGTGGACAGGACGGGGTCAGCCTGTCTCTGTTCAGACACACTGTCCTGTGCAGGGGGCAGGTCCCCAGAGGCCCGGTGTCCACACGCAGCATCTGCATGACTGCCAGTCAAGGAAGGGACAAGGGAGGATCCGCTCTCCTGCTCACGTCACCACAGTGGGCCCCATCCCGACTGCGACCCCACCTGAGACTCACACCCGCCCCGGGAGTGGGGGCCGAGACTCAGACACAGGAACAGGACCCAGCGTGCTGAGGTGGAGGGAATTCCTGAGCCTGGAACGAGGTGTGGGCTCTGCTCCAAATGCCCTGTCCCCAGCCCATCTGTTGGGCCAGAAGGAGGTGACATGGAGAAGGAGGCAGGGGGCCCTTTCCTGCCTCTGCCCAGAAAAGCTGGCTGCTATGTCTGCAGTGCCAGGACCTCCCTGTCCCCAAGGAGGGCATGTCCTCGCCCCCCTTGCCCTCCCCCCACCCCAGTTCCATCTCCCTGGGCATAGCCTGGACCTCCAGCTGCAGACCCATCACGATGGATAAATCGAACTCGGGGTTTACAGCCTCATGACCAGCGGACGTTATTCACTGCTTATCCCCTGGTTAACATTTTCTTCCCTAAAACTATTGTGTTCTTTGTGGAATTAAAAACATTTGTTTTGCCGTAACCGGTTTGGCTCAGTGGATGGAGCGTCAGCCTGAGGACTGAAGGGTCCCAGGTTCGATTCCGGTCAGGGGCATGTGCCTTCGTTGCGGGCACGTCCCCGGTGGGAGGTGTGCAGGAGGCAGCTGATCGATGTATCTCTCTCATCGATGTTTCTAACTCTCTATCCCTCTCCCTTCCTCTCTGTAAAAATCAATAAAATATATTTTTTAAAAAAACAAAAAACATTTGTTTTGCTTTCTGCATACCTGCCACTGTGACCCTACACAGACACTGGGCGCGTTGGCCCTCACGGCCCCACCCAGCTCTGCTGGCACAAACCCTCAGGTGAAGACCCCACAGACGGGTCCCTGCCCTGTTTCCGCGGGCCAAGGAGAAGCTGCTGCCAGGGCCCGTGAGGCGGCACGTCGCACCCGAGGGCTCACACGTGGCCAAAATGTTTTCTCATCCTTCGATCGAGTCACCCTGGGACCCTCGCCCACTGTAAGGCCCGTGAAACGCCTCCCCACCCACATTTCAGCGAACACGTGCTCTGAGAAGGCACAGCAAGCTCCCTTCCGTTTTTAATAAAACCACTTGTTTTTAAATAAAGCCGACACATACGTACCACCTCCAGGTTCTCGGTGGCCTTCCTCATCTCCTTGAACGGTGCCACCCCCTGAAACATTTTCCGCCGCTCCTGCATTTGCCGGCCGTGCTGCTGCAGCCTCCCCTCCAGGCCCCGCTCCTGGAAGGGCCTGCGGAGACCGGGCCGGCCTCAGCCTGGGAGAAGGAGCCTTCCTCCCCCTCCAGACCAAAGCAGAGCCTGCGGCTTGCACCCCACCGTGAGGGTGAGGCGCTGGAGGGGACGCTGAGGGCACCAGAGGCCGCCCGCCCCTCCCTCCCGGCGCCAGCTCACAGCCAGGCCTGGGCGACTCTCCCAACCCTTCCCCTGGGCTCCGAGCTGCTGGGACACACACTGTATTTTAAAAACTTCAGGTTAAGATGCTGCACATTTAGGGCCCTGCACATCGTGCCATGTGACAAAGAGCGTGTCTGTTTTCACGTCAGATACATAGTTGTCATAAATCCTCAGTCAGAGGGACATTGAATTAAATGAGGATTTTAAACATATTTGCTCTGTTAGCATCGGGGCTTTGGGTTCACACCCTTTGATTTATAACAAAGATGCGCAGAGTGGCAGAAAGAGGCCTGAGACTCTAGTGCAGCGGTTCTCAACCTGTGGGTCGCGACCCCTTTGGCGGTCGAACGACCCTTTCACAGGGGTCGCCTAAGACCATCCTGCATATCAGATATTTACATGACGATTCCTAACAGTAGCAACAGGACAGTTATGAAGTAGCAACGAAAATAATTTTATGGTTGGGTCACAACATGAGGAACTGTATTTAAAGGGCCAGAAGGTTGAGAACCACTGCTCTAGTGGGAGGCACGGATCGCAGCAGGAGGGCGCAGTGGGGGCTGAGAAGACATGCCAGCGAAGGGAGAACACGGGAACCTAAAGCAAGTCTGGGGCCCGCGGAGCTGCTGCTCCAAGTGGTGACAGGTCCCTCAGGGATGTGCGGACACTGGCGGGGAGGTGACAAGTCCAGCGGCTACAGCAGCTCCTGAGGGAGGGACCCATCCTTCCTGTTGTCCGTGCTACCTGAGCCCCCAGAGGCTGCCCATGAGATGCTGGTGGAACCAAGACCTCTGACCCAGGGGTGGGAGGGAGCATCACCCCCAGAACCAACCTGGGCTCGTCACTGGCGTGTGGAGACTTCTCTTTGAGCTGCGCCCCTTTCCCTGGTGGAGCCACTGGCGTTTTCTCATCGTCGATAAGATCTGTGGCAAAGGGGGGCTTGGGGGCCTCCTAGGAAAACATAACAAGGCGTTCAGGAGCCCACGGACACACTGCTGTGGGCACAGACGATCGTCCACGGAGGCCGGTCGGAGAACAGCGGTCCCTGCACTGCGGTCCCCACCCGGCCTCGGCCGCCAGCTGGCCGTGCTGCTGGCCGGGCGGGGTGAAGGGCCAGGCACAGAGCAGGGCGACACCCACTAGAAATGGACGTGACCATGCAGACGTGACCCTGTCTTTAAATCACTAGGTTTCGAACTGAAACATAACTGACAGAGAGTCAGAAAGCCTGTGTTACCGGTGACTGGTCAGAGCTCTCCTGCCCTCGCCCTGCTGCACCCCTGCCCGTGCTATGTCCCAGGCAGGCGGGCATCCCCAAACGCCCCTGGGATGTGGCCCTGGGCCATCGCTGGCTTCAGTGGACAACATGCTAGATTCGGTGTGTTTTTTCCCGCCAATAGCGCTGTCCCGTCGTCCACTCCCCACTGAGCTGGTCCGTGGTGGTGTGGGTGTGAGTACTTGGAGCGGAAGGGACACGCGGGGAGTCCCACTGTCTCTACAGCTTTCCTGTCCCTCAAAGTTTGCCTGTCAGAGTGGCCACCCCGCTGTGAGGTGGACAGCGGACAGGGCGCCTTCCCCCAGACTAGGGGCGCAGAGGCCACCCTGCCCTGGGGGGTGCCAACAGGGGACATGCCTTAAACAAAAGAACTGAAGGAACATCGTGCCAAGTTCAAATGCACACGTGCCTGACTGCTCTCGGGAGAGAAGCAAGCTGGCACGTCCAGGCCCGCGGCTGCCCTGTCCATCTGGGCTCGGACCCCAAATGCGCCATGGGAGCCGGTGGCCCCAGCATTGAAAACGGAGGGCCTGAGCCCACTCAACCACCGCTGCTTGGCTTCCAAGGTGCCCGACCTCCCTGAAGCTGAGAGGACCCCAGACAAGGAGACCCCGCAAGACACCTGTGGGCACATTCGACTCCGACGGTGCAGAGCGCAGACCGCAGGTTCATTGGGCACCGGCCCAGCCCCACCCCCCTGCGCTGGGGCCTGTGGGCCTCAGTCTTCACCTGGGAAAGGGGGACGTTGCAGCACCCGCCGCATCCCAGGACTGAACAGGAGGAGCGGGAGCCCAGGGCACTCGACTTGCGAGCGGCCGGCAGTGCCTGACAGCCGCTCTCAGGTCTCACCGCAGCCCCCCCTCCCGCCAGCATCGCCTACCAGCGTCCGTCGTGGAGGCCGGAGTTTGCCGAGTTCCCTCTTCCTCTTCCTCAGCGTCTGGGCTTGCTCCCGCCACTCCAGCAGGGCCCTTCTGTCTCTGGAGGAAAGGCACCATCGTATCAGTCGGTCCTGGTAGGGGGCAGCTGCACAACTTACAAGGACTCTCCTGTCATTGTTAAAGCTCCACACATAGCCCTCCACTTCCGGTCCCTCCGTCCAGAGGGCAGACACTGGCCTGAGCGGCACAGCATTAGGGGGGCGGCTTCTGAAATGCACCCCGGGCAGAGCTGGGCACATCGAACTGTCCCAAGGGCGAGCCAGGCCCCCCTCAAGCCCCTGCCAGGTGAGGCATCAGAAGGCCAGGCCGGGGCTGTGGCTGCCAGCCCTGGCCCCGAGGCCTTCAGGCACTCGCAGTGGCCGCCGATGAGTCAGCTTCCTCTGAGACACGTGAGTTCCACGTTAGAGAGTGAGCACGCGTTTCTCCCAGGCCCCTCCCTGTGACGTGGCCATGCTCTCGCAGGGCTTTGGCAGGACGGGCTCCACGTGGCGAGGGGTTGCCCGCTGCACCCTGACCTCCCTGCGGTCACACCCGAGGGGAGTCACTGCCCACAGCTCAGAGACCACTGGGCTGTGCTTCTGGCTTTGGAAATGGGACAGGATCCATGGGGAGCCTCGCCGGGCCCAGGTCTCCATCTGCCCGTGTGAACTACTTCCTGGGTCTCCTGTAGCTTCCAGTGGTCAGCACGCCTCCCCAGCCCCCCCAAATATGGCCTCTGGTCTCCCCTCTCAGCAGATGGCCCCCTGGCCTCTTGCCCTGCCTGTGTCATGGGCTCTTCTGTCCCCATGGCCCCCGGGCTCCGCCCACTGCCCCCTGTGAGGTCCTACACCGGTGCTTGGTGCTGCCTCGGGATTTAGGTGGCGCTGGGACCAGGTACCTCCTTCCCAGGCTCCCCTGGGGCGCGGTGCTGGTCCTCCCGGCAGCCGTGCTTTGCTGTCAGAGCCTGGGAAGGGCAAGGTGCCCCCCTCTGCACCCCTGCAGAGGCCTCCCCACTAGACAGCCTCCCGCCCCTGCCTGGGTGGTTCCCTTGCCCCCAGCTGAGCCACACTCCCTGGTCCTCCACTCAGCAGTCCTGTGTGGAGCTGTGACTTTGTGACCTCAGGGGCTACCCTCCCAGAAGACAGGGTCCATCCTCGTCTCCACCACTTCTCGGTGAACTGGATGGAAGGGACCCCCCCCTCCCCTTGAGAGGCCCCTAGGAGACTCATGTCCTAAGACAACCAGGCCCACCAGGAGTCTAAGCCGCAGGACAGGCCTCCTGCACTGTCCCCACGGAGGCCACAGAACGCAGCCTCGGGGTCCCAGGCAGAGAAACCAAGGAGAGAGCTGGCACCTGCCCTTGGTGCTTGAGACCTTCCTTTCACAGAGCGTGCAGGGTCCCGGGCACCCCGAGTGCCGGTGCCGCCGTGCCACTTCCCTGCCCTGAGCACCGCCATCATGGGCAGAACAAGAGGGGGACGGTGGCTGGGGGAGGGGAGGGACTCACGTGAAAACAAGGGGCAGAAGAGCTTCCCCGAGGCGTCTAAGGGCAGGTGCCTGAGGCTGGAACTGGCGTTTGAGGAACTAGAATCAGGGAACAGGCGAAGCCAGGCAGGAGGGGTGGGACCCGCCTAGATGCAGAGCAGGGCGGTGCCGGGGGCCAGCACAGTGTATGGGGGCAGGCGCCCTCGGTGGTCGGGAGCAGCCTGTGACATTGGCTCTAGGAGGCTCCTCTCGCGGGGACACAGATGGCCTTGCTCTGCAGAACTGCCCGCCAGGCTGCCCGTGCTCGGTTCTCACCTGGCCCTGAGGTGGGCGGCAGGCGCCCCACTCCTGTAGCCTGGACTCCAGCTGAGGGACACTTTGGGGGACTCTAGGAGGTGGCTGTCCACAGCTGTGGCTGATGACCAGCGTGATCCCAGGAGCAGCCCAGACCACACCCTGAGTCTGAGCCTCTCTGTCATCCCTGCCACCAGGGAACAGCACAGGGGCCGGGACCTCATGTGTCCTGACCAGTTCTGAGGGTCCACCATCCCCCACCTTTCACTGAAGGAAAAGAAGCCGACTAGACAGTAGGCCTGGTGGCGGGGGGACAATCGTGCACCCTCAGAACTGGGTCCGTGAACAGTCCGCATCCATCAGGGCCCGAGAGAAGACACACTCACGGGATGGGTTCAGGAGGGTTTATTCACACCAGGCTATTCATGGGGGAGGGGCAGACAGGTCCTGGGGCAGTGCGGGGACAGTGGGGCTAGCTGCCCAGGCTCCGGGACGAGGGAAGGAGTGACTGCAGGGTGGAACCCAGGAGTGAGAAGCATGGGGTGGGCCTCTGTGGGGGACCTGGTCAGGCCCAGGTGGCATTCACTGGGAGGGGCAGGTGGAATGAAGGTACTGCCCTCCAGCTCTCCCTTCTCTCCGACCCCCTTGCTGGGACCCCTCCACTGACCAAACCCAACCAGGAGGCGAGGGGCTCCTGGGTGCTGTGGACAAGGCCCATGCTGGCCGGCCTCCCAGGGCCCAGAGCACGGGGAAGGCGGGCGGTCAGCAGAGCTGGACAGAGGACACGCTGAGCACAGGGGTGGCCGCGGCAGCAGCAGACCCGCGAGGCAAGGGTGAGAGTGAATGGACAAGCATGTTACTTTTAAATATTGTTCTTTAGAAAAGACCTGCTAGCCAAGTAAATGAAAGGAGAGGAAGGCGGATTAAGGAAGAATAAGAAATTGGAGGAAGGTATAACAAAGAAGGCAGGCGGCGTGAGGAGGCGGGTGGGGACGGGCGTGCAGGGAGAACCTGCCCGGAGACGGCCTGCACTCGGAAGCAGCTCCCGGCTTCCAAAGGGGGAGAAACAGTCCGTTTATCAGGAGTCGCCCCCAGGCCCGCCGGGATCCCACGGAGCCCAGCCTCACCTCCGGCGCTGCTCCATCAGCGCCTGCTTCTCCCGCAGCTCCCTGAAGGCCGCGGCCCGCCTCTCCTCCAGCTGCTCTGCTTCTGTCGCTGTCCCTGTGCCCGCCGGGTGCGCTAACGCCAGGCCAGGCAGGGCACCCTTGAAGGAGGGTATCTTCCTTCTGGAATTACACAGGGTTTTAGCCAAGTATCCAAAAACAAAACCTTGTGATGAACACACACCTGGAAGATGAGGTGGAAAACATACAACCTGAGAGCAGGGCTTCTGGGCCAGCTGCGCCCTGGGCCTGCGAGGAAGGTGCTGCCCTCCACTCCCACCCCCAAGCCGCCAGGTCACCCTCGGGGTGTGGGCTCTGAACCGGCTTCCCCCGAGCCACCTGGATGCGAATGGAAGGAGGGAGGAGGAGGTTTCTAAATAGCAGGCTTGGACCGTCCTGTCCGCGAGTGGGTGACTCAGGACTGAGACAGTCGCGAGGTGAGTCCAGGCCGGGCTGCCGTGGAGCCTACACTATGTGCTTCCTACACCTCTGCGGCCACCATCGGTTAGTAACACCTCAACGGTTTTTATTCTGAAAATGTTCAGACCTACAGAACAGGTGTAAGGATAGTGCAATGAACAGCAACACCTTTCCTGGAGACGGAAGATTTTCAATGTTTTCAATATTCCAACCCCAGCCTTCTCACACACCGTACCCAGACCCACACACACACCATGCACATACAACACACAATGCATGCGCAACACATAGCACACAGCATGCAGACGCAACACACATCACACATACCCATGCACATACAACACATCACCTATATCATGCACATGTAACACACATTACATACATCATGCACGTGCAACACACATCATACACCATGAATACACAAATACACAATGCACATCATGCACATGCAACACACACACAATATACACATGGGCACATAGCATGCACAGACATACCACACACACACACCAGACATATAACACACACATACACACACACACTCAAACACACAGGTTTGGGCTTTTCTCTTGTGTAACCACCTACTTGGAGCCCATGTTGGGGTGACTTTAACCCAAAGCCAGGTGGGTACTGCTGCCTAACTAGTGAAGGCAATGCAGACACACACACATCCCTGATGTTTTAACGGATAGTTGCAAAGTAGTTTTCAACTTTGAAAAGACCTGACGACACACCTTGGCCTAGGAGTCGTACCTGGGGGCGTGTCTGGGGTTGGGGCGGGCTTCATCCCGGGTGCGCAGCACGGCCCGGAGGTTTGGAGGCAGCTCCATGGCGAGGAGCTGGTTTTGCAGAACCTCAGCCTGTTCCTTCTCCACGATCTCCTGCCGCAGCTTCCAGAAGCGCCTGATCTCCTCCTCACTCGGCCAGTCTTCACAGGAATCGGCAGATTTCCTGAGCTCACTCAGGTCCAGTCTCTCAACAGGTGGGAACGGGCCCTCCATTTCTTTTAACCTGGTCCCCTTTGGTCCCTGAGAATTAATGGTGCCTCCGTTGGGTGCACATTCTTCGGGTAAGGCCAGCACGGGATATGGCAGCTGACTTAGGTGCATCGCTAGTAAAATAAAATCCCGATTCAGTTGACTGCGCTGCAACCCTGGGCCGAGCCTCAAGCAGACCCCAGGCAGCTCCCTCCGCCCAGGCTCTGGCAGTCCCTGTAAACCCATGTAAGGGAAGATACTCCCTATGCACATCCTTTGGGTGTCTTAATTTCTAATCAACGTTTAGCCCATGTGCCTGCTGCTTTTGTCTGGCAATGCTTTTGTTGACTTTCAGACACTTTTATCTCTAGCTCTAGGTAAATTATTTGGGAGCAAATTGGCCTAAAATGTATTCATCCTTTGTCTCTGCCAGGTCCCGCATTAGGCGTTCGAGCCACGGTGTCCCACAGACCCGGGTCACCTGGCTGCGTGAGGCCTCCATTCCCACAGGCACAGACACTCGGACAGGCTGGGGTGTGCCCACCAAGCCCTGGCACACATCCTTCCCAGGCATGTAGACGCACACACCCTGTGTCCTCAGACACATTTTAAACAGCTCTAACCACTGTAAGCTACTTCCTGTAAGAGGTGAATTCATTTTCAGCCTTTCAAATCTAATCTAGTTAGCCATTATCTACACTAATAAAAGGGAAACATGCAAATTGGTGTCACTCCACTACGCCCACCAGCCAATCAGAGTGACTATGCAAATTAACCCAACAAAGATGGTGGTTAATTTGCATTCGCAGGCGCAGAGCAAAGACTGATGAGTGAAGAGGCTTGGCTTCTCCTCTGCAGCCGGACCAAAGGCCTGGGTCCTGGGTGCCGGAGGAAAACCGGTGCCAGGAGCCAGGGGAAGGAAGGTCTATTGCACAAATCTCTTCATGCAACGCACATCTAGTATATATATTCATGCACTCAGGGAGTCCCTCAGCCCAGCCTGTGCCCTCTCACAGTCTGGGACCCTTGGGGGATGCCCACCTGCTGGCTTAGGCCTGCTCCCCGAGAACAGATGATCTAAAAGAAATAATCATATCCTTGGGTAAGGATGTTTTAGAAAGGTAATGGTCGCATGAAAATTCACTGCTGGCAGGGCTGAGGGGCCTGGGTGCTGCCATCTTGTGGCTGTGGGTGCTGCCATCTTTGTGAGGGTGTGACAGTCAATTAGCATATTACCGCTTTATTATATAGGATTAGAGAGAGAGAAGAAAGGAAAGGGATAGAGGGATAGAGAGAGAGAGAAACATCAATGAGACAGGAACATCATTGATCAGCTGCCTCCTGCACGCCCCACACTAGGGATCGAGCCCGCAACCTGGGCATGTGCCCTGACTGGGAATCAAACCGGTGACTTCTTGGTTCCTCGGTTGATGCTCAATGGCTGAGCCACATAGGCTGGGCTCTACCTTTTTTTCTTGTCGATTACATGTCTATTGTATTAAACAGGTACAGACTTCAATGTAAAAAACAAAAACTGCAATGGGATTGAAGGGTAATGAGAACAACGATGACCCTAAATATTTATTACTTATGAAAGCATAAAATTCTAAAAAATATTTTTCAAGGTCAGTGTTTTACAACTTTTTTCTCTAAGAAAAAGCCATTCTCTAAACACAACATCCAGGAGGAGAGCTCAGAATATGAAACAGGTAGAGGCTTTGCTGTCAAGCACTGTTATTACAGCGTGTGCCCCGCACGACCCCATGGGTCTCCCGTGGGACCCAGTGGGCGGCTGAGTGAGATGCGCTGGTGCCACACAGGACACGACACACGCGTGCATAGGACAGCACACTCCCAATGCTATATGCTCCCGACCGCTACATGCATGGGGTTGGTGTTTTTAAAGAAAAATAGTTTAGCTCTAGCCAGTTTCTCAGTGGTTAGAGCGTCGGCCTGTGGACTGAAGGGTCCTGGGTTCAATTCTGGTCAAGGACACGTATCTTGGTTGCAGGCTCAATCCCTGGGCCCTGGTCAGGGTGTGTGTGGGAGGCAACCAATCGATGTGTCTCTCTCACATCAGTGTTTCTCTCTGTCTCTCCCTCTCCCTTCCACTCTCAACAATTCTCAGGGGAGGAAAAGAAAGGAAGGAAGGAAGGAAGGAAGGAAGGATTTTTTGTTTGCATAAGGCAGCCAGGGAGGGAGGGAGGGAGGGAGGGAGGAAGGAAGGAAGGAAGGAAGGAAGGAAGGAAGGGAGGGGAAGGAAGGAAGGGAGGGAGGGAGGGAGGAAGGAAGGAAGCCTATAGAATGGGCAATTGTTGTCTAATGGACCAAGCAATTCCTGAAATAGTTACGTGATGGTATTGGGGGTGAGGACTGTTTCATTATGTTCATCCCAGTGAACTTTTACCCAAACCTGCCCTGGACAGGCTCCATCATGGGCACTGAGGATGCAAGCCTGTGAGCACAGAGCCAGAGAAAGACAGGGCTCTGCTGTCAGCGAGGAGACCGTGTGTGAACCAGGTGCTGGGAGCGTCCAGCGGGGACACATGAGGCTCCCGTGTTCCTCGGGACATGATTACAGAGAGGAGGTGCCCTGGGCCCAGATTTTAAAAAGCACTCGCTTCGGTTTTGATGCAGTTTGTCCTAATAATTGTCCTACGAACCTTGAGAAGCTGCCGGGTCTCGGCGGTAGGAAAGCTTGGCTGCAGAGCCTTGCAGGAATCTCAGGATGGCGGCCGGGCCCTTCTGCACAATGACCTGAGGCGGGAACTCCAGAGGGCAGTGCCTCAGGTTCAGTGCTCTCAGCGTCGTCACGTTCCCTGGCGGAGAGGAAGGACCATCAGCATGTTACACACACTCCTGTGCAATGGAGGCAGGAGGTGACAGTGACTTTTGCACATTAGGAAAAAGAGATCCTGTTGAGAATTCTGGGTAAAATTATATGACAGATGTCTGAGATTTGCTTTTTTAAAAAAAACCCTGCAGGGGGGACAGATTCCATAGATTAAGACCAGTCTAATTACAAAATAAAATAAAATAAACAAACAGAAGCAACAACAACAGCCCTCTAGTAAAAAATCACCAAAAGCTGCTATAATCCAAAATGCCTATCTTCAACAATACCAAAAACTATAAGGCATGCAAAGAAAAGTAAAATATGACTTATACACAGGAAACAAGCAGCCAAGAGAGACTGTCTTTGAGCAGGCTCAGATGCTGGATGTAGCATACAAAAACATCAAAGCAGTGTTATAAACATGTTCAAAGAAATAAAAAAAACTTCAATAATTAAAGGAAAATATAGTAAAATATCTCAACAAATATAGAATGTCAATAAAAATATAATTATTAAATAACCAAATAGCAGTTTTAGACTTAAAAATTGCAAAGACTGAAATAAAAAATACACTGGCCTCAAGATGACAAAATGGCAAAAGCATATACAAGACGACAAAAGAAACAAGTGAACTGAAAGATGGATAGATGATATGTATGCAAGCTGAGATCCAAGAGAAAAAAGATTCAAACAACAACAGAACTCAGAGACCATAGAACATCAAGAATGCTAATATACATGTGACAACGGTCATAGGGGGAGCAAAAGAGAGGGTTAGAAAAAAAATCTGAACAAACCATGGCCAACACAGCTCTAATTTGATGATAAACATTAATGTATATATCTAAGAAGCTTAACAAATCCCAAGTAATATAAACCACAAGGATTCACACTGAGAAACATCACAAACTAGTGAAAGACAGAGAAATATTATTGAAAACAGCCAGGGAAAGAGAACTCAGCACCTACAAGGGAACAGCAACTATAAGATCAAGAGCGGACTTCCTGGAGAAAGCAGTGGTGGCGTGAGCACAGGGGAGCAGGTGTCCACAGTGCTGTCAATCGAGGGCTCTGGGTCTGGCAAACTCTCCTTCAAAAAGGCAGATGAAGATATTCCCAAACTGATGCAGGTAGAAATAGATCATCTGAATCAATCTATAACAATTAAGGAAATGAATTAGTAATTTAAAATCCACCCCCCAACACACACACACACACACACACACACACACACAATCTCAAGTCTAGTTGCAAACCACTGAACTGAATGGATGAGTTTAACAGCAGACTAGACTCACCAGAAGACCTAGAACTCAAGGCAGGTCAATCCTATATAATAAAAAGCTAATATGCAAATTGTCCCCTCGATCGGGAGTTGGACCAGGGGGCCGGGCCGGCCAACCACCCGCGTCCCCTTCCCCTGGCCGGCCGGGCCCTATTGGCCCCCATCGGGGCAGGCCAGCCAGACCCCACTTGTGCACCTGTGCATGAATTCGTGCACTGGGCCTCTCGTGGAAAACAACGAAAATGGAACACAGAGAGAAAAAAAAGAACAGGGGGGAAAGGGAGTATTCAAGGCATGTGGGACAGAATCAGAATCTAAACTTGTGTAACTGGAGTCCCAGGAAGAGAGGAAATGAGAAGGAGAAAGAAGCAACGCTCCAGGTAAAAGGCAGAGACCATCAGACTGGACAGAAGAGCGACACCCAACCACACCTGCCTGCGGCTGACGACGCAGAGGCTGAAGTCAAAGCTGGGAAGACGCATGCGCGTGCCGAGGGTGGCCAGGAGGTGGCTGAAGTGGATGCACTCACACATTCTGAGTGCCAATGAACACGGGAACACGCATGTGAAACCACAGGGCTAGCGCTCCACACAAACCAGAGCGCCAAAAGCAACAAGAAAACATAAAAATCCTAAATTTCTATTCAACCAATAACATTGTATCAAAATAAAAAGAAGCAGAAGTTGGTGGATCTGAAAGGAAAGGTTTCATCGCTCCTCATGCTAGGCTGCGGGTCGCTCTTTAGGTGTAGAAATCACACAGGCACTGGCAGCTCTTGGGAGGGGCGTGAGCCACACACGGGCCTCCCCTCGGGGCCATGCCTGGTGCATCTACTACAGGTTGCAGCAACCTCACTAGACTGCATTTTAAAACCACCTTTTATTTGGTTGGTTGAGTACTTACCCAGCTGCACAGGTAACATTTTGATAGGATTTCTTTCTAAAAGCAAAGTTTTCAAATACCTTTAAAACAAAACAGAACATACATCATTTAAAAGCAGAAAGTCGAGTAACTGTCCCTAAGTGATACCGCGTTTCTTCATTTGTCTTCTCTTTAAGGCGGCAACGCCACAGACCCACAGTGACCACCGGCGTGGTCAACTGTCCCAGCATCGGGCCGAGCTCTCGCCGGGCGCTGCTGACCTCGGGGCCAGGCAATGCTTGGCTGGGAGACGGTCCTGTGCCTGAGGGTGTTTATAGCAGCATCTATGCCTGTCCCCACAAGATGCCAGTAAATCACCCCCACCCCGCGACAACCACAAAACCTGCAGACATTGCCAACTGTGTGCAGAGGGAGGCAAGTTCTCCCGGCTGAGAACCAGTGCCCGGCTGTGGGTACCCGGTGACACACGCACCACACGGGGGTGCCTGAGGTGTGTGTGATGCACCCCAGCGATTTCAGGTGCTCTGTGCAAATGTTCTCCACGGTCAAGAGCGTGCTGCCCGGCATGTCTGCCCTGCTTACAGATGGTGATTCACATACTCGTGGCCGGAGAAGTCCCCAAGCAAGGACACCTGGTTTCGGGGCATTTTCTCCCCGTATTTGACACCTGTTAGCATGACTTGTAAAATTTAGCACAAAAGAGACCTCAAGCAGGTAGGATGGCTGGAGGACCCCAACAGAAATGACTGGCTGCATGCCTGCTGGGGCGTCACCAGTTCACGCTGCCTCGGCCCCTCTGGTTCAACACTGTCATATATCAATGGCAGTTTCCCTTCCTCCTTCCCTTCTCAGGGGTCCCCAGCTGAAATCTGGTGTGAAAGGACCACAAATACTCTGGCTCGTCAGCAGCTTCAGCCCAGGGGCTGACAATTTTCTATTTACCTTCCTGGGAGCGTTGGTACTTGGGCTGCTTTGGGTATTAACCCCTTTACATCTGCTGACACGCAGCAGCCACTGGGGACAGCGTCCGGGGCTTCCGGAGATGCCTCGACAGAACTGCGGTGGCAAAGGGCCCTCACCTCCCCACACCAGGGACATTCTTGTTGTTGGCTGGTTTGGGGACATACAACATGGCAGCCACCTACTGACCTGAAAGGGTATCAGGCCTGTTTCCACCCGACATAATAACGCATTAAAATATTCGGGGCACACTTTAAATGACACCCAGTGCTGATCCATCATTTCATTTCACAGACTTCCCCCTGGACATAGGCGTCTATGGGAACCAACTACTCGTAGGGGCACCCAGGCTGAGGCCACTCCTCACGTGTCCGCTCTCGCTACGAGCTCACACCACCGACCCTGAAGGGGCACCTTCGTTCTGGATGGTTTTCATCGGGCTTTGTGGGAAGCTTAAGGCTTTTAATAAGCTCACAATCACTTAAAATTTATAACGAGTGTGTTTCAGGTCTTCTGCAGGCTGCTCTGATTTGAATGATGTAGTGGGTTGCACATCACATAACAATTCTATCTTAAACAACAGTGAGCAGCGGGCTTTGACTGGAAACATCAAAGATTCCAACATTGGAGAATTGTGTGCTTATTTGAGAAGAAAGAAGAGTGTTTAGGGGAAAGCACTTCATTTTTACCTTTTGAGTAGCAATTACTCTCCGCACAATTTATGTCCTAAACACAGAAGAGGACCGTGTGACGAACAGCGCCTTCCCAGGCCGCCTCCGAGGGCTGGGGAGGCCACTCAGGTCAGCTCTCGGGAAGGAGGAAGCAGCCTGGACAGCCTCAGCCCGTCACACAGCCAGGCACACAGCCAGCTGCAGACCGGGCTCAGCCATGCGCCTGCCTGGCCGGCTCTATGCAACCAGGGACACGACTCCCCACAAGTGATCTGCTCGGCAGACCCCGCCAACCCCAGGGGCTCCAGGAAGAGGGCTCCTGGCTCTGGCCCCATCCTGATGGAGATGCCAACTCATCGTGACATTCGCTGCTTCCTCGAGGAGCCTGCGAAGGCACCAAGGATCAGAGACATTTTCTCTTACTCTTACAGGTGACAGAATACTCACTTTTTTTTTTAATCCTCACCCGAGGTGATTTTTTTAGAGAGAGTGGAAGAGAAAGGGAAAGACAGAGAGAAATACCGATGTGAGAGAAACACATCCATTGGTTGCCTCCGGGACCGAGGCCGGGGAGGAGCCTGCAACCCAGGTACTTGTCCTTGATCGGAACCGAACCTGGGACCCTTTGGTCTGCAGACCGATGCTCTATCCACTAAGCCAAACTGGCTAGGGCAATACTCACTTTTTTTTTTTTTTAATACTCACTTCCTAAAAATTGCTTTTAAAAATGGTGAGCAACAGCCAGGCGAGTGAAGGGCCTGCTGCAGGCCTGTGCCCTGCGGTTTCAGTGACGACCTGGCTTCTGTGCACAGTTACTCGTGTCAGAGCTGGGGGTGCCCTTGCACACCTCTCTTCCTCCCATGCCCACATGCAAACTGAGCCCCACCAGCTCCCGAGCTCAGCGCAGCTCTGCAGTGTCCAGCCTTGCCCGGGCACCGCCTCGCGCATGCACTGCTGCAGTGGCCTCCTTCGTGGCCTCACTGCTGCCACTCTCGCCCCTCCGTACAGTGATCTGAAAGCCAAGTCAAATTCCACCCCCATCCACTCAAACCCTCTGTGGGGAGTGGCTATAGGGTCAAGCCTCGGACTGACCTGTGGCAGAGCCACATTCAAGTCCCAGCTTGGAGGGCAGAGCCCTCCTAGCACAATTAAGCTTGACCTTACAGTCCTCCCTTGTTCCTAGGTCGCTAATGGGCTGAGGGAGGTGCAGCAAGTGCTGCCAAAACAAGGCTTGAGTAATGAAACTTGCAAGAACATGGTAAACATGTTGACCACTCCCCTTTTTTTGCTTTGTGTGATCTGACTACAAAATAAAGCTTCGGCTGACAGGCTGTGTCACTGTTTCCTCATCCAGGCACAGTGATCCACCTAGTCCCAACTGTATTCTCTTGTCTGTCTTCTTTAATCCTTCACTGCCCCTCCTCAGGTTCACCCCTAGCCATGCTGGACGCGGTTCATGCTTGACCCTATTGCCGCTCCCTACGACCCTCTTTCAAAATGAAATCCAAAATAGCAGCTGTAGTCTACAAGCCTGGCCGACCATGCTGGCCTCCCTGTGTCCCTCGCGTCTCCAAGCACATGGCCGCCCCAGGGCCTTTGCATGTGCTTTCTTTGCCCAGATGCGCTGACACAGAAGGAGGGCCTGAAGTGTTTCTCAGAAGTGTTTCTCAGAAGGTTTTAAAGGGTAAGAAGCACTGGGGGAAGGACTGGGTACAGGAGGCAAAGGGGCCAGGAGGGGAGCATGGCTCCCGGAGGCCATGCTGAGGATGCCAGCGGATGGTCAGCTGCTGGGGAGGGCCCAGGTCTTTGAAGTGGGGGTGCTGGGAATCTCTGGAGTCAGAGCAGGAGAGCACACATTCACTCTTCCAAAATGGGCAGAATTTCTCGTTTTGGATACACGTGGTTGTATTTCCGACCCTCAGGCGAGTCAGAGATGGACCCAGACATTACAAACCCCACACGGCCGGTCCAACAAAGGCGCTGGCACCCTCAGCTGCTGAGTGTCCTGAGTTACAACAATAGCCCCATGAATTTGTACACTCAGCCATCGCACCGCCCGGCCAGCCTCAAAAATACCATCAAATGCTTCCATTCTGAAGTCAAAATTCAACCAGGAGGAGCTGAGCAGCAACAGAGCAGGCTCTCAGACGTGTTAAAGGGATGGGGACTTTGAGTCGGGAACAGGAGCGCGACTTGCCTGTGAGAGCCAATCCCGGACGGAAGCACCTGAATCCTGTTGTGCCGCAGGTCCAGCCAGGTGAGGTTGGGCAGCAGCTGAAAGAAGTCTCGCGGGATTGTGCAGAGCTCATTTCTCTGAAGATGCAATTGCTTCCCAGGAAAGAAAAGACCACGTTTGGTCAACCAACTGAATTTTAAAACACGATACAGCCTAAAAGCATTTCCGAAGAGCTACTTACTAGCCACCACAATCACACATATCGAGTTAGACGAGAAATCATACTCTTCTACCTTAAGTTTAAACAGTAGACACGAGACTCAACATGAGAATTGTCAGGACCCGTGCGCCACTGTGGGAGCTGAGAGCGGGTCCTGACCCGAGGACACCCCCATGAGCACATGTCACTTCTAAACTCCCTCTGACACCACACTCACCCCCGGTGTTTATATCCCTCTTCTCCCTCCTGGGCCCACAGCAACTCCGCCCAGTGAAGGAACGGCCCCGTCTGGTCCCAGGGACGCATCCAAAGGGAATAACTGAAGGACACACACACTGAGCAGCCTGCTGTGGGTTAACCGTGATCAGCAGCCACACAAGAACAACCCCAGAGCCATCACTGCAGGATTCCCAGTGAAATCAAGTCACCATCATAAAGGAGGCAATAGCACGGGAGGCAGGGACAAAGCGCAGAGCACGGGACCTATTAGCTGTGTGACTTTGAACAAGTTCCCAAACCTCTCTGTGCTCCAGAGTCCCCACCTGTAAAACAGGTCACGTGATCCACCTCCCAGGGCACACTAGGTGGCCAATGCTTGGCACACGGCAGTGCTAGGTCAGCACTGGCCATCGTGACTATGTTGCTGGGCTCTGATGGAACCTTATTCTGGAAGTCACAAAAGCTCACTAGACCACAAGCAGGCAGGGACTCACCTGGCGAGGGCACTAGGCAGAAGGTAAAATTGGCATGTGACGTCAGCAAAGTGTGGGTGAGAAAGTTTTTCCCTGTTTCAATGTTGACTGGGTTTTTAGGGCTTCTGTGTTTTAAATAAGAGACTGAGACCCAGCTGGCATGGCTCAGCGGTTGAGCGTCGACCTATGAACCAGTAGGTCCCAGTTCGATTCCAGGTCAGCGCACAGGCCTGGGTTACGGGCTCAGTCCCCAGTGTGGGGCGTGCAGGAGGCAGCCGATCAATAATTCTCTCTCATCGTTGATGTTTCTATCTCTTTCTCCCTCTCCCTTCCTCTCTGCAATCAATAATACAAATATATTAAATTAGGGACCGAAGGTGCTTTCAGTAGCGGTGTCTACCATAAGCTTTTTGGTGCCCAAGACTTTCTCGAGGAGAGGGAACATCAGAATTGGACCCTACGAGGTATTCCCATTGGCTGGTCCCCAGGCCTGAATTTCTCATTTGTCTTGAACAGCACACGAAGCCCCGAGTTAACCCTCCTCTGTCTCATTCTAGAATTTCTCTCCTGCAGAGAAGCCGACAAGTAAAAGCCTGGGGTGAGCTGTTTGTTTATGTCTACTCGGTCCGTGCACAATACCCCGAGACACGCCCCACTTACTTTAAGGGTGGGGATTTTAAGGATGTCTCCTAAATGTTGAAGACCCCTTTGACTCAAGTCTAGAATTGGTGAGGAAGAAAATATGGCCCCCGGGACACTCTTAGGAATGTCTTTGGACGGGGCGGCGGGCGGGCGCCCAGCCTGAGCAGCGTCGCTCTCCAGGTCAGCGGTCCCAGGGCCGGTTCCCTCCATCTGTCAGCTGGGAGGAAGCAATCCTCCAGGCCACTGCTCATCCTCCTGGGTCACCTGGAGGGAGAGCGGACACAACCACAATGAGGAACGCGGCCACGTTCCCAGGTGGACGGGCTAGCTGCCTGGCAGGCCTGCAGTGATTTCACCTGCTTACAAAACACTCGCTTTTAATAAACAGTATCATCAACTTGACTTTTAAATTTTAAAAGAATCCCTGGGATGCAAGAAGGTTCAGATGAAAACGTTCTGCTCCTCACTCTGAACCATGGATACAACTTTCAACTCCAAAACGCAGGAGAGAAATGGCTATTTCAGGGAGGAAAACAGTCAAAACGTTCCAAAGTCTGTAAACCAACGTATTCCTTCCATAAAATGGGGGTGAAGGAACTGCCCACAGGTGCTACCTCCCCATCCCCCCAACCTTATCCCCCACCCCCACCCCCACGACTGGGCCTTTCTCTGGTTAGTCCTGTTCTGCTAGGCTATGAGGGGAGGACTTCAACCGCCTATAAACCTCCCAACAGGACAAATGTCTGAAAACCAGAGCGAAACACCAGGACCTAAAAATGAGGGCGGGCTCCGGGGGATCCTGAGGCTGTTCCAGGTGCCCAGCGCGCCCTGCCTCGGTTTCCCCATCGGAGCCTGAGAGTCCACGCTTGGGGGCGCAGCCTGTACTGGGCACCGCCTTCCATCAGCTGCCCGGCCACCGGCCACCGTCGGGCCCCAGGAGCTCAGAGCTCCCCTCACTCACACACACCCCTTCTTCCCCCACCTCATCTGCCGCACCCCCTTCCTCCTCCCCTGCGTTGCCGCCCTCCCTGCCTCACCTGCAGCGACCCCCTCCCGCCTCACCTGTGGGGATGCCCCCACTAGCAGGCTGGGGCGCCGAGAACGCAGGGAGGTGCAGCCCAACAATGGAGGCCGCCAGGCACACGCGGTCGCCATGGAGACACGGGCCGCTGGAGGAGGGGCGGGACCCCGCAGGCGCCCAGCCTTCTGGAGGGTGGGTGCGCATGCGCGTGCGCGTGGCAGGGGCCGGCGGCAGCGCTTATTGGGGTCCCCAGCACCGGCCCGCCCCCCGCGACCTCCTCTGCCAGGTGGTCCCGGTCCGTGACACCGAGAGAGAGGTTGTTGGGCTTCCTGACCCAGGGACGCTGCACCAAAGCCGGAGTCATGGTGCGCGAAGAGGACGACCGCGAGGTGGCGGGAGCGAGCTGGGCTTGAGGACATGGTCCCTGAGCACAGCCGCTAAGCACGCGGGAAAGGACGCTTATCAGGCCGCCCACCCTGCGTCCAGAACTTGAAAGCCGCCTGTGGTAGACCTGGGTCCTCTAGGGTCCCAGGAATCCATCCATGGGTGCAGGGCGTGGTAGGCAGGGGAAGTTGGAGGTAAACTGAGGATGGGTGGCTTGCTGCAAGCTGGACGCCCTGAGCTCTAGCCAGAACCCCACGGTGGATGGGCCACGGGTGTCCTGCAGAAGTGGCGCCATTCCTCACCCAACGCAGGCCTCACCCAGGAGCTGGAGAAGCTGAAAGCTGCTCTCCGGCCTCCCACCAATGAGGACAGTGAGCCGCAGCCACACCTGGGCCCTTGCCCTGACCTTCCAGGTACAAAGACATTAGGGCTGCTACCTCACGGCTGCCCTCCACCCCCCAATCTCACACAAAATGCCTCTTGTGGCTCCGTTAGGAGAGCTGGGAAAGGTGTGTTCCCCAAACCACAGGCCGCCTCACCTTTCAGTAATTTCTGGTAAGCAGAGCACATTCTCTGATTGAAGAGGAAGCAGCAGAGAGAGATGAAGCAGCTTCTTAAGAAACCTCACCTGCAAAGATGGTGCATATCTGCTACACAAGAGGAAAGTCAAATATAGTAAATGCTTAATGTTCAGTGTCACTAAAGGCTTTCAGATACAAACTCTTGCTCAAACAGATCATTATTTTCAGGACAATGTCCGATGGATTTTCATCACCTTGAAATTTACATGTAATAGGGTAAAAACCACATATCTTAACACTAGTGTACCTGTTTCCAATTGCTGTTGCAACAAGTCACCGAAAACTTCCCACAGGCACCTAACTGGTTTGGCTCAGTGGATAGAGCATCAGCCCTTGGGCTGAAGGGTCCTGGGTTTGATTCTGGTCAAGGGCACATATCTTGGCTGTAGGCTCCATCCCCAGCCCTGGTTGGGGTGCGTGCTGGAGGCAACCAACTGATGTGTCTCTCTCACATCGATGTTTCTCTCCCTTTCACTCTCTCTGAGAATCAATGGAAAAAATGTCCTCAGGTGAGGATCAACAACAACAAACTTCCCACTTGCAACAAGTACATTTCTCATCCCACCATTGGGAGGCCAGACGTCATCCTGACCTGGTCTCCCTGAGCCAGGTCAAGGTGTGGAGACGCATCAGGACACACAGTCAAAGACGTCCACAGCAGCCTCTCTCTCTTCAGCAAGAACTGGGCCGGATGTCAGAGGCCAGGACAAGAGGAAGCCGTGAAATGGACAGACAGTAGCTGCTCACAACCACAAGGATGAATCCTAGAAAGAGGAAGTCTCAGGAGACCTCGCACAGCACAAACGTTTCTCAGATGAACAAAACCGAGCGTTAAGTTGCAAGTGTGAGTGAGAAAAATCAAGGGATGGCTTGGCCCATAACCCGGGCTGCGGGCAGGTAGGAGACAAGAGAGCATGTGGTAAGTGTTGTGGGCTAAACGTGTCCCCCCAGATTCATACATTGAAGTCTGAACCCCCTCAGAATGTGACCCTATTTGGAGATGGGGTGTTTACATGAGGCCACACGGGTGGCCCTGATTCAATAGGACTGGTATTCTATCAGAAGAGGACATGAGGACACAGACACACACAGAGGGACAGTCATCTGCACGTCAAGGAGGGGGGCCCCAGGAGAAACCAACCTGGCCAACACGTTGACCTCAGACTTCTGGCCTCCAGAACTGTGAGAAATAAACATCTCTTGTTCAAGCAACCTGTTGGTTGCCTCCAGCACGTGCCCCAACCAGGGCTGCACCCCTGGAAGCAACCCCGGGAAACTAAAAGTGGGTCAGAGGACAGGTGGTCCCTCAATCCAGCCTTGGGGAGGCAGGTGCAGGTGCACAGGTAGGGTCGGAGGGTGGGTGCTGGTGAGGTGGGTGGCTGCTTATCGGTGTTACATCTGTCCACTCGGAACATTTACATTTTCCATCTGTCACTTGGTGTGCATCGATTGTTACAAGGCAAAGGAGGAGTTTGCCTAGTGAGGGGCAGCACCGGGCATGTGCTGACCATCTACTGGGGTAGGAGGCGCCTAACACCTGCTCCGGTCAATCCTGGGTCTGGCTGAGTTGTTTACGGGTGTCAACGGTGTCATTCCCAAGCTTACGGCAGTGAGCTCAGCGGTGACTTGCCTCCCAGGCCTGCTTCCCTCCTCTGTGACACGGGGTGCCATGAGAAGGATGTTGTCACAGGGCTGCGAGCTCTGAGTAATGCCGTGAGATGCAGAGCACTGTGCCAGGCAGACCAGCAACATCCATGGCTCATCTCTCTCATGCCAGGAGGTGGGGTCATCACCCCGATTTTACAGGGGAGACAGAGGAGCAGGGAGGTCACAGCGGCCTGACACAGCCTCTGCATCTATGGAGGGTCCCCCGGGTGGCTCTGAATCTCCGGTCACCTGCCTCCTTCCATGCACATCTAACGGGAGCACAAGAAACTGGGGATCCTCCCCCTAAAACAAGACTCTAAAGTAGAGAAACCAGTTCTCCACGGGGAACTTTGTGGAGAACCAGCAGGTTCACCATCTGGTGAGAACTGACCCCTGGCCTGGGCCCGACCTGCTGGGAGAGGAGGCCTCCACTCCGGTCAGAGAGGCTGCACGAGTCACCTTGTCTCCATCCCTGCCAGGCCCGCGGAGCCAGCCTCTGGACTCCCGGCCTTCCCTGTGGCCAGCTGCCTGTGGGGTGGGGTGCAAGGCCCTCTGAGGCCCAGGGCTGGCTGGTTCCTGCAGAGACCCACACCCTGACCTTGCAAGCATGGCAGTGCCACCTCTCCTGGGGAGGTTTTCGCGGTAAGTGTGTTGCAGAGTTGCCTTAGCTTCATAGCTTCCCAGATAAATCAGGGAGCTAGGAAGATGAATAAGCCTATTTTTAAAAGAGGATTGAGGACAACTACAGAAAGCAAGATGATGCAGAAAATTGGATTGGCCCTGCTTTCTGGAGAATTTGTATAGAAATGCTTCAGAAGTAAGGGCGGGGGAAAGGACCCCTCCCTCCCCCAATCTCTCCTGCCCACATGGCCCTTGTCCTTGACCAGCCACTGGGCAGATTTCAAGGTTGAAGTTTAACTGAGAGCAGCACTGGGTGCTTCGGAGAGGGCAGCAGCTGGGGAGGATGGGCTTCTCTGTGTCACAGAAACTGGGTGGGGGCAGAGGTGGGCCTGGTCCTCTGAGGGCTGGTGGGCAGAGGTGGCTGGCCCCAGACTCAAAGGGAAGTGTGGGCTGGTGATGGCCACCTCGCCTGCCTGCTCCAGAGCGACATTCTCCCTGGAAAAGGTAAAATTATGAAATATAAAGATCTCCAAGTTCCACGGACCAGCCTCTGTGTGTACTGGCTCATTGCTGGTCTCCTGTCATTGAAACAAGACAGATAAGGTTTCTGGTCAGTGTGGGCACCCAGGGACACTGTTGGCCTCAATGCTCCCTCTCCATTCACAGTTGGCCCCCACTCACCCCTAGAACTTCACAGTTGCTTGCAGGGGTGCAGACCTGGTCTGCTCTCAACTGGGCTGCTCCTACCTTTTCTCTGTGCCCTGCCCACAGGGTCCTATTTCACACTGTCCTGGCTCCCACCATCCAATCCTTGAGCAACCCTGGACCTGCCCCGGGCCAGGTATAGTCAGACTTGTGCCCTTTGCCCTCAGGCCGGCTCTCAGACCCGTTGGCTCTGCTGGTTCCTCTTCTTTCCCACTGGAGCCTGCGAAGGGACCCCAAATCTTAGGGCCCAG